CCACGGAAGTCTAAACTGTAAAGTTTAGGGAAGCAGTGGTGAATGAGAGTTTTGGATGCATAGCTCAGAAGAAAGTGAAAGGTCGGCATCGTAAATGTTTATATGAGGAAGATGGAGACTAGCTGGCATTTTCAGTATCCTCTCATAAAGGATGGCAGTTTGCGTAGTTTTACAGTCTTGGAACATTCCTCAATCCCACTTAAAGCAGAAATGCCGGGAATGTTTTTGGACCAAGCAGTGACGGAAACATTTTAGAGTTTTCCAGCTGCCGACTTTGGAAACTATGACTTGAAATCTCAAATAAATGTCTCACTCTTCCATGTCATTTTGGAAGGGTGACAATCAGCATCAGCATCAGTGGTTAAAAGCTTTTGTTGTTAGCAACGAGCCCGGCTCCCAGCTTCAGGACCGAGTATGTAGGTGAAGGTGAGGAAAATGCTCGTGGATAATCAAGGCTTTCAGTAATTGCTTAACTTTGTGTGGTGCTGTTGTTGATGCTTGTTCACTGATAGAATGGGACTGATTTGACAGTCAGTTTGACCACAGGAGGGGAAATTCATAGAGAAGTGGGAGAATTGTCACTTGATGGATGAAAAGGTTACTGGAGACATTAGTTTTCCTTACATATATGTTACATAAATATTCTGTGTATCTGCTAAATTATTTCCATCAGGATGAATTCCAGCTCATGCTGATTGTGGTGGCTTTGCATGTTTAGACCTGCAAGGACACGCAGATATGAGAATGCTTTAGGGAAGGAGCAGTAAGGACTGGAAACTCCTACAAATCAGGAAGTCCACTAACAAATTTAATGTGACAGCATGTGATATCTGTGTGATTCAGGCAGAGCGTAATGTTGGTGAAAGTTAGTAGGAACTTGCTGTGCTGTGTTTTCTTTATTGTGCATTACTATTCCTCTCTTGCGTTAATGTTTAGCTGCTCACTCTGAAACACTTTGCTGTAACGGAAACATAAAGGCACCCTGTGGTATTGTGGTATCATAAGTGTTGCAAGTGTCTTTCCCATCATGCATCAACAAAATAAGAAATTAGACAGAAGCAAACAGAATCCATAAGAACTCAAAATAAAAAATCATTACTTACTTGCAGCAAGTAGAAGCTGTCAGTGAGGGATGATGGGCAGGAAGATCTTTCACAGGTCAGAGTAGCGTAAATGGAGCTGTGTGGTATGTTCAGGAAACCAGCTGTCCACAGTTAACTTTAAGTATGCAAGAAAAATAAAAAGGTCAGTCCTCTTAAAAACCTGATTTGAACAACTTTTACTGTGTTGCTATCTGTAAGGAGAGTGTTGGTGCGCTCCTCTCTGCTTTAACACTGTTCCAGATGTGTCGAAAGGGAGGAGCTTCTGCTGTTGCTGCTTCAGCCTGTAAACTTAGTCTGTGTGGAGGATCAGGGGAGCTTACTGTCCAAGTGAGAGCAGACGCAGTGAGAGCGAGAGGTGGGGTTGAACAGGAGTGAGCCGGGCTTCAAAAGCTGTGTGCTGGCTCGCACAGCCGACAGATTTTCTTGTTGATTGCACTCCGTGTTTTGCAACTCTCTTGCACAAGGGCTGCCCTTCAATTTGTCAGACAGCCGCCAACAAACACTGAACCGTGATACTAAACTACGTGAACTTCACGTTGCTGAGAGACTTTCATCATGCATAAACATTAGTGTTCCAAACTGTGATCAGGGAGGAAATTTTTTCTTGAAATGCAGACAGAACACAGGGCTTTCCTAGATTTCTTTAAGTTGTAATAAGAATGTGTAAAAGTGACCTTTGAAATAAATGCACAGAGAATTCGCTTATTCAGTTATTGTTAATGTTTTAATACGGTGCTTAGCATTTTTATTAGACCAGCACCCAATGTCAGGTTTACCCCACAGCTGCCCTAAATTAACAGTATTATTATTATTGAGATGTTAAGTTACAGTTATTTACGTGCATTTCTGAACAGAAAAGATTTAGTTTTATTGGTTGAATGTTATGCTTGTCAAATTTCTGACTTTGCTGAGAAATGCCGAGAGCTGGCTCAGATTTATGCTCAGATTTGAGCATAAAACCATGAATTCGTTTTGTCATTTGCCTCATAAATAAAAATGCACGTTTTAGCTTCGTTTTTGACAGATTTCTAAAATATTTGTGTCTTCGTGTTTTTGTGACATCTCATCTTAACAAACTTCACAATCAGTAGACTTCTTACTCTGTTCTACTACCTGCTCACAGGTTAACCTTTAACAGCTAATCAGTTTGAGTTCAGCTCTCAGCGTGATGTAATTTCAGAGTGATTCTATTTTATTACCAGAGCATTTAATGACCTTTAGGCACGAGCAGCAAAAGGTCACCCTGATATGCTTAATGGATGAGAAACAACAGAAACAGATGTGAAAATGTGTATATGAAGCATCCAGCTTTAACATGACTTCACGCTACTGCCATCATGTGGTTAAGATGGGTAATATCAGCAGGATGCATTCCTGATTTTAATGTTAGATGCTTTTTGCAAATTTACTGGGTAACTTGTGCTGTCATTTTCTGGGAATAAGAAGAAAAGGAGAAAGTTTTCAAGGCTTTTTCAAAACTAATCGACTTGTTTATATGATACCCTTCAATGCCCGGGTGGCACGGTGCCTGTGATGTTGTCATTGTTGCAATAAAGTGTTTGAGTTCATTTAATAAAAGTTAAGTAGTACAACCAAGTGTTTTAGAGTACCACAGCTGACAAACCTAATGGTATTTTTCTTATTCATATGTGTAGAGGGATTTCTGAGGGCTGCAGTTGTGAAAAGCTGCCCTTTAAGACAGTCACAGCATCGCTTGGAGTTTAGAAGTGACTGATGTAGATCTTCATGCTATTTTAATGGCTTCTTTTTTGCCCGTTTTTCACAGAGAGACAAACAAACTGCTCCAATTACATTACCTCTTCCTCAGCTTTCACCTGAGCAGATTAATAATAATAATAATAATAATGTGGGCATTCCCTCTTAATTATGTGCTGAGATTATACATGGCCTAAAGCGAGAGTGTACTAATTTGCAGAAAGAAGCACAGCTCAAGTAGAAGCCACTTGACATTAAAGTGTGCAAGAGGAGCCCTTTAATGAGCCATTTTCTGTTGGTGGCATTTGGTGCTGGCAGATTCAATGACAGGCAGCGTTGATGAATGCAGTCAGATTCTTTCAGTTCCCCTTTTCCATCAAGCTGAAGTGAAATGGGATTAGCTCGTGCAGCATGCATAGAATAAATGAGACTAATTGCAGTTCAGGACATCAAGTGACAGATTCATTATTGTCTTGTTGTGTGCCGAGTCAGTGCTCACGTTTTCATAGTGCCACTGACTTCAGGGCAGCCTCGCATCACCACATGAGCAGCATTCTGCAGTTTTCTATATGTCATTTATTATTTGCTTCATCGTTTGGTCATTAACATGTAATACAAATAAGAACAACTGCTGTCTGTGTTGTCCCTTATGCTAAGTTTACCCTGACACAAGTAACTGATAAACGCCCTCAAGATGAACCCAACAGTATTCAGCGATCTGCAGAGCTGTGACTTCTGGAAAGTGTGTGCATGATGTTGTTGTTGTTAACCTAAGACTTTGAAGGTTGCAGTAATGTTGCAACATCCACTGATCGTTGTCTGTCATGTAGTGAAAGAACAGCCGCCTTGTCTGTTGTGTTGTGCAGCCTCCACACTTAGACTTTTTGACTTCTCGCTTCTGGTATTTAAATTTTTTTAGTTTCACCAAGAATACAACAGCACGTTGTTGACACTGTAGAAAGAATATAGAGAAAAGATTTTCATTTAACATGCACACCAACTGTGTTACTTTCTTCTGATTCCTCCTCTATGTACCAACCTGATCATAACATCCTGTTATAATTTTCCCCTGATACATTAAACGAGCAGTGAGGAACATGCAAGATATGGAGAAAAGTCATGATCAGGTGACAGGTTTATGTCACAACAGCAGTCACTTCAAGCTTCCTTATATTGTAAGGGGAAGAATAACATGGAGACAAAAGCTATAACGCGCCGAATTTGTTCAGTGAGATCACAGATCGAGTGATCAGTAGAAACTTTCTCGTACCGATTTTGTGTAAAACCAAAAACGTGGTTGGATATTAGAAAGGTTTTAGGCACTTCTTGGTTTCATTTTGTAGACCCAGAGGGAAAGCCCAGTTTTTATATGCAGACTGTGTAACTGCAGTGATCAGTGTAATGATTTAGCTTTCATTTCTACAGCACCTCTTTTTTTAAGTATTTCAGAGCTTCTTATTTTTTCTTGAGACATTAAATAAGTAATAATAAAATATAGGTAATGCATGTCATATTTGTTACCATATTTAACAATAAAACATAATATTAGCAGGTCTGCTTTGATTCAGTACCTTTACTAAACCTTCTGGCGTTGTGATTTACAGCTTTTCCACCGGTTAGACTTTGCTTGAACTTGCTGGTCTCAAACTAACATACTGTAATATGAAGATGATACTCTGCCACCATCTAGTGGCAATCATGCATTCAGACAAAGCAGAGTCATAAATCCAGTAGGAACAAGCTCAGATGCTGAAGCACTGTTCTAATTAGATGCTGTGTACACTTTCACAGAGAACTATGAACTGCCCCTCAGCTGCAATAGCTCTGTTTTTCTGTTTTTCTGTTTGTGCTTCCTTCCTCCTTTTGTTTTTCTTAATTTCCTTTGTCTCGGTCAAGCTGCCCATCTGAGGCTCCGTGTTCCAGACAGCACGGGGTCAACATGTTAAAGCGGGCCCCCCCTCCACCCCACCGTATGCCCCTCAGGGTGACAGTGACACAAGTGTCTCATTGTCATAACAGCGTCTGTCAGGGTCTGTCTCTCGGGGGGGGGACGTCAGAAGATTAGCCGTGACATTAACCCCCACCCAAACACCCATCACACACACACATATGCACGCACACATGCATCAATGCAGATGGCTGCACACTCCTACCCATAATCCTCAGTCACAAGTCACTTCCCGTTTCATGATGAGACAAAGCAACAGATCATGTGTTTGTTTTTTTTCTGCTTTTGACTGACTTTGTTGGAGAAGTTTCGCACACTTTAATCTTTTCTCTCTGTAGCTGGAAAGCAAAGGAGCAACCGTGGCATTAAAGTGAGTATTTGGAGGTCAGCAGTAAAGTGATTGTGGTCGAAAGCATGAAGGGAATGCTGTAGTATGTGCCTGTAGTAGGAGGGAGGGGGGATGTGTGCAGTATGCATGTGTTCTAATAGCAAACATCCAGTTATTGTGCTTGGTTTTCATTGTTTATGCATCTCTCAGCATGCAGAGCCAATTCTTGATCAATATGTGATCAGCCATAGAAGGCTCAGGTTGTATTTTCCTGCCAAAACAAGACTATAAACAACCTAACAGACCCCAAAGTCTCACCCATAGTTAGAAACTCTTAAGACGTAACCAATAACTGAAGCTGATCCATAAGCTACTTTGTAAAAGGGAAGGATGGGATTCTGAATTTGTTGCATGTCACAGTCTTCATTAAATATGCAGCACTGGCTCTTATAATAGTGACTCGAACTCTTGGCCAGCACAGCAGAAATATGAGCAGAGATGCAGAGAGAGGCACAAATGTGGCCGATGATTACAAAAGGTAACAAACGTAGAATTATCACAATAAGAAGTGCTTTTTTTGATAAATTCATAAGAGTTTGTGAATAAATTGTAAAGATGACCAGAGCGATGTTGCCCAGCAGTAAAATGACATAAACCAGCAGTGATGTAACCGCATTTGTCTCTCTGTTGATGTGATTGTTTAATTCAAGTAGACCTCCTGCTGTCTGATGAGATCTTTATAGTCCTCATAGTTTATGAGTATTGAAAAGTTTGGAAGACAAGCTCGAGGTCAGGTATCTGGGATGTTTTTGTAATGTTACTCCGAGTGTGTCACCTGGGAAAAGATGCGAGGAAAGGGTTTACTCTGCACATGCTTCTTTCTCCATCACACCTCCTCCTGCTCTTCTTTCCTCGCCTTCGTTTGCATCACTTATCTCTCACTCTGTCTCGCCTCCCCTCTTTTCATTAGAAGCGTGGGACAAATTAGAGGAGTGATGGATGAGCTGCCCTCCTTCACGATGCCGGTTCATTCAGGCATGCACACTGATGTATAAACAGATACAGAGGGCGGATGTGTGTCTATGTGTGTGCCCGTTTGTGTGATTATGTGTGTTTATAGTGACGTGCACATTCTCATTTGTCGTCAGAAAATCTGTCATTAAGGTGGCACTTTTTTTTTTTCCTGTCATCCTGATTTCCATGACCACCAATTAGGTCTAGAAAGCCAGATGATGGGTTTAGGCTTCTCACATTTGTGGCTACATCTGCTTAATTACCATGTATTACTCACACTATAGAGGCAGCCGTGATTGCGCTCGCACAGACACACAAACCGCACTCATCCGGCTAATGGACCAGCCGGGTCTTTGCTAGCTGGGCTTATATTTCACTCAGGGAGAGGGAGGGAGGGAACGAAGCCAACAGGTCCATTATTGAGAGAGAGCATCATAGACAGACAGGGGGAGAGAGACCGGGATGAGGGGAGGAAAAAAGAAGGAGGTGGGGATACGGCTGCAGGCGTACTGCGGCAGCAGCAGAGCGGCATGACGTGATAGGGGAGTAGAATGACGGACACACAAACACACACACACACACATGCTTGCAGCTCAGAGGCCAGCCAGAAAAAGTAGAAAGGAGCTGAGGCAGGGATTGAGCCAGCCACGCTCTGCAGCATACAGATCCGACTCCAACTGGAGACTGAAGCGGGTGAGTGAAGGCTCGTGTTTACTTTAGCTAGTTAATATTTCAGATCCTTCTCTAATTCTAAGTATATTTTTGTCTTGTTTCCTGATGAATCTGTGTCTCTTGTTGAATATATTTCCTGTTGATTCTAAAAGCGCAGAGTTACCAAACTCTAATACGAGGACTATGTTCATGGTGCTGTGACAGTTAGAAAAATAAGAGAGCAAAGATGGGCCAGTGAAGACGAAAAGAAAGAGAGCAGCAGTATCTACAGGATGAAATGATTGGCAGTTGACCTGAGTCAGCAGCTTGGATGTATGACTCAGTAAAGCATGTGTGGTATACATATTGTAGCGTGCGGTACATTTGGTTGATATTGAGAAGAATGGAGGCAAACTGCTTCTCCCATGGTGATATTTATATTGCCAGTAGTCGGGTTATATTTTCTCCTGTTTACTTTGTGGGTGCGTGTGTTTGTACCCTGGCTTCTATAATAAGAGCATGTGCAGAGGACGTGTGTTAGACAAAGATCTTTTTTTATTTAAAGGAGTACAGCAGCTATCCTCAGTACATTAAATACTCACACAACCCATTTTATCACACCAGGTCCCAGCGAGGCTCACTTACTTTACTGTCCCAGTGCAATTTGGAGACTCGAGGTTCGGAGATGACTTTGTGCTGTGTTGTGGGATTTCTGATGGTGACACATTATGTGTCATTTTGGGTAACTTCATGCCAAATACATTTCCATTTTGGTCAAATGAGTCATGATAACATAAACACTCTTCAGTTCTTGTGTGTATGTGCGTGTGGTCCAGGTAGTACTCACAGTGTGTGAGCTTAACCCTGTTTACACCGTCACATAATGATGGTGTGTTTCTTTTGTTTTATAATGGGGACGAAAGCTGTTCCCCAGAGTGTCAAACACGATACAACGAGAGCGTGCTGTTTAGAGTAAGCCTCCAGAAAATGAATCTAGGTTAGTGTAATGCCCTCTGAGGTCGTAGATACGTGACTGTGTTCTTTGAATCTATGTGCCAAATGACTTTTTTTCCTTTTGGCGAAAGGTTAGAATCAAAGAAAGTCACTTTGAAAATGAGTCACCTCGAAAGAGAGGCCCCTGATTGGCTGAATGTGTCATTCCTGTTTGTTCAAGCTTCCTGTCTTGGTGAATGGTGAGGAGCTGTGAACCAATGGGAGAGCAGTGGTGAGGATGCAACTGTGATCCAGGAAAAAACAGCCCATTGTTCCTGGGACGTCAGAGAAGTGTGACCTGCTTCTGGCCGGCTCCGTCTGCTTAGCCCAACGGCGCACTGACAGGTAAGGCTTTCGTGTGACACAGCAGAGCCTTGAAATGGACTCATATGTTCTTTTTGAGCTAAAAATATTGCCACGTTTATCTTATGATGACTTTCTTTTAAGAAAACTGCCTTCCCAGGAATTTGTTGTACCACTGGGTGTCACTAGCTTCTCTGCTCCACGGCAGGACTTTACTGCTGTTGTTCTGGCTGCTGTCATAGTGGAGGTGATTAATTCAGTGTACTGTAGTTTCCAGCCTGTGTGACACACAGGCACTGCTGATGCCCTTCACAGACAGAGAGGCCTGTGTTACCAACTCATGTATTGATTTTGTGATGAGTCAGAGGGTGTTCATCACGAGGGTGAGTGTGCATGTCTGTGAGAGAGGATATACACGCTTTTCTCATAAGATATAGAGTAACTCAGGTCAGCCACAGGCCGCCATGGGAAAGCTGAGCTAAATCAGTGTAATGTTATTAAATTACACCGTTAACATGTAGCATAATGCTGGCTGCAACGCTATCCTTGTTCTTCTGTCCTTCAGGAGATAAACCTGATATGGCTGATGTTTCTGATAAGTGTAAAAGATGCTATTAATAAGCCTGCATAATTCACCTCGCAGCTATAATTAATGATAATACGGGACTGTAATGAATGAGACGCTGTGCTCCTGCAGTTGCAGACAGTACCCAGTAGATGTCAGCACCACCCTAGCAGAGTGAAGGAGAGACCGTAGTCGGTCCATGCAGTAACCCACACAATAACTACACTGATCTGTAGCAAAACCCCAGTTTCTCTGTAGGCTTCTGTGCTGTGTTTGCGTCAGTGTACAAACACGATGATGTCCTTCAAAACCTCAGGGAAAAGGGTTTTATTTATTTCAGCTGGTTTAAGTATGAAAGCTAAATCATGATGTCAGCCCCGAGGCCCGGGTCTGCAGAACTAAAGACACAGTGACTGATAGTGATGGCAGATTGATTTATGATTTAAATTCAAAACAACAGTGATTGATTGTTCAACTATTTTGTCACACAATAAGATATGTAATTATGTTTTTAGCTGTTAAAGTGCTGTTTCCAAATACTATGAAATATTAAACTAAGGTGAAGCTTTACAAATATGTACAATGAAGCTGATTCTGATGCTAATGAAGCGCTAACTGTCAAACTAATGAGCAGCAATATAAACATGGCTTCATGTTTTTGCGTTTGCACGTGCCTCAAACAGTAAAAATAAAAACGCTTCTTAAACCAAACTCATTCCTTTAGACACAGACATCACATGGAGTTAGACGTACAATGAAAGGAGCCAACAGACGGTGTGTTGTAAAGTTTTTTACGTGACAGGATGATACAGAACAATCTTTGAAGCCTGTAAGTCTGAACACATGACAAATACAATGTATCCAACACATGTAAGACGTTTGTACTGCAAACTATCCTATAATAACATAACTGAAAGAAATCAAACTAAACTAGATTATTTTTCCAAAAACTTACAGCTGTTGGTTTCAGTCACCTTATTTGTATTTCCTTCCTTTACACACACACACACACACACACACACACACACACACACACACACACCACACCACACACACACACACACACACAGCGCACAACCAAAGTTGGGAGTTCGCTTGTAATCGGAAGGTTGCCGGTTCGAGCCCCGGCTTGGACAGTCTCGGTCATTGTGTCCTTGGGCAAGATCCTTCACCCGTTGCCTACTGGTGGTGGTCAGAGGGCCCGGTGGCGCCAGTGTCCGGCAGCCTCGCCTCTGTCAGTGCGCCCCAGGGTGGCTGTGGCTACAATGTAGCTTGCCATCACCAGTGTGTGAATGTGTGTGAATGGGTGGATGACTGGATATGTAAAGCGCTTTGGGGTCCTTAGGGACTAGTAAAGCGCTGTATAAATACAGGCCATTTACACACACACAGCCTGCTTTCCCTATGCCTAAAATGAATGCCTAACCCTTACTCTAAACCTAACCATAACCTTATTGTAACCCTGACACTAAACCACATTTTGACTGTGGAAAAATGCCTTCAAACTTGTAGGGACAAGGATTTTGGTCCTCATAAGTATAGTAAACTTCTGCTTTTTAGTCCCCACAAAGATATGAATACACACACACGCACGCACACACACATCACCATCAGCAGCTGAGCCCCTGTATGTTCTTATACAGCCTGCAGAAGTGTCGGTGTGACCCCGGCATATCCCCAAGGGAAAATCAAATTTTCATACAGATAGACATCGAGTCAGCCCACACCTGTGCTCCTGGAAATCCTAGCAGGGCCTACAGCAGACAGAAAGAAATTCTGATGCTCATTTTCTGTCTGGACCTCCCAAGAGATGGAGTGTGTGAGGAAGACATACAGAAACAGACAATGAGGAGGGGGAGGAATTTGTAGGGAGTAATGGGGGAAAAGGAGGATGGATGATCACATCTGTCTCTGTTTACCTACTGCTGCATCACTGCAGCTGTACGCTGCTGCGCAGGCCTACATTAGCATCAATCAAAATACCGCACAGCTCTTAGTTGCTTGTCTTAGTATGTCTGATTCTATAAGTAGGTGGAAGGAAGGCCTCCTGCAGAGAATCCGTCCTTTTTCTTCATCGGAGTTTCAAGCTGAAGCAGTCACTCTTTCTCCTGCTTTTCTCAGACTGCTGGAAATGTGTGTCTGAGTGAACCACATGACACTGTGTGCAATGCTGTGATTAGATGCACTGTCAAATAATCCAGCACTTTATCCTTGTGACTTTGACGGCTTAATTTGATACATCAGTGCTTCACTAAAGACAGCTTCCCACAAAGTCTTCTGGCAGCAAAAGTTTTGCTTTTTTAAGACGGGGCAAGTAGGGTTAAGCATTAAATCTCTAGTATATTTCTAAGTATGTCTGCGTTTGTGTGTGTGTAATTATAATACACACACTCAGACCATTTTTTAAGTGCAACTAGGAAGAGAATCTAGAGTGAATTTGAACATTTCAATATATGCACTCACTGGACATTTTATTAGGTAAACCGTGCTAGTATTGAGTTGCACCCCCTTTGGCCTTAAGAACAATCGTCAGTCTTCCTCTTATAGATTCAACAATGTGCTGGAAACATTCGTCAGATATTTTGGTCCTTGTTGACATGATAGCATCAGGAAGTGGCTGCACTGTGGTCCTAAAGCGTGGTCAGTAACAATACTCAGGTAGGCCGTGGTTTTAAAAGACGCTTAATTGGTATTAAGAGGCTCAAAGTATAACAAGAAAATATGCCCCACTCCATTACACCACCAGCAGCCTGAACAGTTCATACTAGGCAGAAGGATTCATGCTCTCATGCTGAGTATGCCAAATTCGGACCCTACCATCTGAATCTTTGAGACTTATCAGACTAGACATCATATATTTAATCTTCTATACTCCAATCTTGGAAAGTATGTGCAAGTTGTTGCCTCACGTTCCTGTATGTAGCTGATGGGAGTGGCCACCAGTGTGGTCTTCTGCTGCGGTAGCCATCTGCTTCAGGGTTTCACTAGCATCTCACATTCAAAGATGCTCTTCTGCTTACCTTAGTTGTAACGAGTGGTTATTTCAACTACTGTTGCCTTCCTACCAACTCAAAGCACTCTCTATGACCTCTGCTATTAACAAAGCTTTTTTTCCTGCTGCTCACTGTATATTTTTCTTTTTTTGGACAATTCTCTTGTAAACCGTAGAGATGATTGTGTGGGGAAATCCTAGTTGAGCAGCAGTTTTGAAATGCTCAGACCAGCCCGGCTGGCACCGAGAGTCACGCCACATTCACTTACAGCCGCTTAAATCACCTATCTAACTTCAGCAGGCCGTCTTGAGAATGTCTGCATATTAGAGGAATTGAGCTCCTGCCATGTTGTTGGCCGACACTTACGTTAAAAAGCAGCTGTACGTGCACTTGACGTTTTTTCCGCCTTTTTTGCCCTCCCTCCCTGCCTTTCTCCCAAACTCACTGCCTCCCTTTCCCCTCCCAGCAGAGCAGCACGAAGCAGCAAAATTATATGAAACGTTTCACTTGATCAGAATTAGCATAGGCGGGCTCACAAAGCTCAAGCAGGATTTCGTAGTTCTTGGAGGGTTTCTGTCATTCTGACACAGAAGAGAGTAAGAAAACCAAGGACAGTCAAAGCAAATAAGGTGAGCAACATCCTGTGCCTCCTCTGAAACTGTTATATGTATGCATTGTGCCGGGGTAAGTGTGATGTTGTATTGGAGTTCATTTTCAGTATTTGTTTTTCAAGAACATAAGGATCTACAAGCGTATAAAAAGCTGGTGTGTGTGTGTGTGTGTGTGTGTGTGTGTGTGCGTGTGTGTGCGTGTGCGTGTGCGCGCGTGTGTGTGTGGGTGACAAACTTTGTTCTGTTTGAGTTTTTCCATCCATTCATCCCTGTTATTATTCTCAGTTTTTCACCTTATTTACTGCCTAAAGGCCTCGTTCAGATCTGTCATTTCTAATGACTGAACTGCGCTGCAAGAGCAACCTTGCCTCTTTCTCTCGTGGAGATGCAAAGTAAACATGTGCATGAG